GAGTCCAGTTTCATCCCATCCCTCCACACCAGCATACACCTCTATCGTACCTGGGCCACACCAACATATGACCCCAACTACAGTTTGGATGCTGTAGTTTGTTGGGAAGAGACTTATCGCCCTCACTAAATGAGGGCAGAGGGGACAGTAAGGTGCAGAAGCCCAGCCTTACCTTTTCAATTGTACTGAAGGAAGGCCAGGATTGAAATCCATACTCTGAAGCAAAACGAGTTTTAGGATACACTGTCCAGTTCCAACAGTCATTGCTGTAGTCATAAAAGTGAGTGTCACCATAATGGGTATCATAAGGGTTCTGGGAGAGCCAACCTTCTTTAACTGACTCCAAGCCATTGGTGGGACTGGATGCAATAAAAGGACGACTCTTATCTTCCTGGGATTTAAAAAACAAAACAAAACCACAACCCCTCACAAAGTGATTGGCTTTTATCATCCAAATACATAGACCGTATTTTGAAAAGGAGGGGAAGGATGAACATGCCTTCTCCAAATTTCTGAGTCACCACCTAGGAAACTTTCCACTTTGTGTCCTGACATTCACCATCTTTACTTGCTTAATTAGCTTCTTATTTATGTTCCTGGAGGACAGCTGGGCACGATATTTCTTGCTCTGCTGTTCTAAGGGATTCTCTCCTCACATCAAAAGATTTTCTATCTTTACATACTTCTAAATTCTTAATGAAAGCTATTTAAAGTGTGCCTTCTGAAAAATAAACTCAAGGAACATTAATATTTGAGTACAGTGACTTCTTTATGGAAAATCATTACTTTTGCAGTGTTTTTGCAGGAACGAGGGCATGATTTTCCCCTTTCTTATTAAGCAGTCACCTAAATTTAGTCTTTACAAAGCCAAGGTATTCTGCTACTAAGGCTTGCACAGTAGCATTACAGGTTATTGTCATTTTGGCTGTCTCCCCACATTAAGATAGATGAGGCTATAAGAAGGGTTACATTTCACATTGTTCAGAGCTGCCTTTATTTATAGCCTCAGTAGATTTAGTATACTTAATCTTTTAGCAGTACCCTACAAAGTACTGAAGGAATCCTTTTGCAGGTATAATTTATTTAGCACCCTACTTGTAGTAAGATAGAGGCCTGAGTTACTTCCCAGTCACAAGTTACAGCAATCGCCTTCAATACAGTAAAGCTACAGTAAAGCACTTCGACATGTGCTTCATTTTAAGAAATAGTCCCCTTCACCTTTTTTTTTTTTTTGACATGTGTAATTAATAATTAACTGAAACAATTAACTACAGGATATCCTGGAGGATGATCAGAGGGCTGGACCATGTCTCCTATGAGGACAGGCTGAGAGAGTTGGGGCTGTTCAGCCTGGAGAAGAGAAGGCTCTGGGGAGATCTTATAGTGGCCTTCCAGTACCTGAAGGGGCTACAAGAAAGCTGGGGAAGGACTTTTTACAAAGGCAGTTAGTGACAGAACGAAGGATAGTGGCTTCAAACTGGAAGAGGGTAGATTTAGATTAGATATTAGGAAGAAATTCCTTCCTCTGAGGGTGGTCAGACACTGGAACAGGTGCCCAGAGAAGTTGTGAATGCTCCCTCCTTGGACGTGTTCAAGGCCAGGTTGGATGAAGCTTTGAACCTGGTGGAAGGTGTCCCTGCTGATGGCAGAGGGGGTGGAACTAGATGATCTTTAAGGTCCCTTCCAACCCAAACCATTCCATGATTCTATGATTCCCTGAAGTCTTTAGCTCAAACTTAGAAGCCTTTTTCAGTTATACAGCGCACTACTGCTAGCAGTTACCGGTTTTCTCAGCTGGCTCGTACTACACAGGACCTGAAATTATTTCACTGTATGGTTCCTTCTGGCACTCAAAATAGTTATTCTACGGGTTTAAAATAAAAGAGAGTCCATCTTGGACAGCAACACTGCACAAGTGAACTGTAACTAAAAACAGTATCAAACCAGAACACCTCACTTTGCTGCACATGCACTGGCCATCCAGCTCAGGTAGCTAATCACAGAAACACCACAGCACACCTTTACAAACAACTCTGTTCCAAAAAACTTAACTGAAATACAGAAATCTCATATCAAGATGTTAAGCAAGAATATAAGACACCATTACATTACATGTATAACTGTCCTCAAGAGGGGGATTCTTTTCAGCAGGTTCTTTCAAATCTGGCCTCATTTTTATTGTTTCCTCATATCTCAACTTTTCCAGTAGAAAGGTATAGCAAATTCTCAGAGTACAACTACTCTGACAATGCCAGTAGCCTCCACTAACACGCAATAATACTGCTGTCACCTACATACTGAATGCCTGTCTTAGCAAAGAGAAACTTCAGGTCATGAGCCTCATAACAGGAAACATATCTCATCCTGAAAAGGACAGAGATTAGACTAAAATTATCATACCTTGAAGTCAGTAAGATCATCCTATCCAAGGGATAACTGGGTAGGAAGAGGCCACTGGCATTTTCAGGTTAACAGAAACTCATACTCTTGTTGCAGAAGGAAGTTCTAACTGGACAAAACTCTTAAAACATTTTGTCTCTTAGCTAACAAGGGAGTTTAGAATACTCACCTGTGATTCAAGTATTGTTTGGTAATCCCTATACACTTATGTGACATCAATTTGTGAATTTTAAATCAATTTTCTCTACATACGCACATAAAAGTTAGTTAAAAGCAGATTCCATTAAATAATTAAGAACTGCGATACTTCTAGGAGGAAAAATAAAACTACAAAAGCTGCACAAAACAGGTAGTGCCAAATCACAGTAGACTTCATCACAGATTCCAGGTGCTTCTGGTTTGCATGCCCACAGTTTAAGTCCTATCTCAAAATATCTTATTTGCCTTTCATGTACTGTAGAATACCATTAATCTGTTTTTCAAAATCACACAATATAATGGCTAGACACACAATAAAAAACACACAATACAAAAAAACGCACAATATAAAAAAATATTAAAAAAACACACAATAAAAATATAAAAAACCCCACACAATATAAAAAAACACACAATAAAAACCACACAATATAATGGCTAGACAGCATGAGGATAATGTTTAACGTAGCTTTTTTTTTTTAACCTGCTTAAGACAAAAAACTTAAATACTGAAAGAGCACACTGAAGAAATAACATCTTTATTAATTTCTTCAACAGCTATTAAAAGGCCTGAAGGTTGTTAAAACCTTCTTACAGTATCCTTCAACAAAATCAGGATAGAGGAAATCTGATCATCTAGATTAATTAATTAATGGGCAAGCTAATTTTTGTCCACTGAAGTGAAGGTTTTTGTGGAAATATTAAAAATAGGAAGATAAAAAAAGAAGTGAGATCTACTACATTTTCAGGTCTTCCTTTACATACCACAAAGCATTAAAGGTGTAAGTAATTTTTGGTTTGTTTTACTTTGAGGATAACCCTTGAGTTTAGAGAGTTGTGTACAAGAGCTTGGAAAGTGCAATTCCTCAATAACGTGCTGTTTTACATTTCTCAAAAGGATTAAAAACCAAAAAAACCCAAATAAAAAACCCCACACACAACACCAAAATTCAAGTTGCTCAAATTGCAAACATTAAAACCTTTTGCCAAGCCACAGTCCCTACAGTTTTTTGAGATCACTTACAGTAAGAACTATTTCTCGGATGTTCTTCACATAAAGCATCACATAGTCTTTGACATAGACTTCTCTGTCAGCATAAGGTATGGAGAACCAGTTGCTTGCAATTGCTGCTTCATTTTCATTGTTACCACTCCACAGAATAATTGATGGATGGGATTTTAAACGCCTTACCTGAAATACAACTTAGAGTTTCAGAAGTCAAGCAAAATTACTTCTCTTAAAACTAATTAAAAAATTAAAATAACTTTATTACTGCTTGAACTACAAGACCACATGCATATTACAACTGATGAGCCTACAATTCCTGTTTTTATCTGCACTGTTCTCTATTCCTTCAGCTCTTCACCAAGCTCAAACTTTTGTAATATACACCTACAGAGGGGCAAACTTTTAATATGCTGACGTATATCCACCATATGCACATGTGTGTAGCTTCATCCCCACCTACTCAGCTACATGTGAAGGATAAATTCTCTGCTAAGGCATGTTGCAATCATTAGAGCTCACTTTCAGTGAATGCTCTTAAACATTCTTGAGAACAGTGCAGTCTGGACATGAGGAAGGCCTGTACCTCTGCTTGACTGACTACTCCTGCAAGCAAGTTAAAGAGGATTTAGCAAGGTTACATTTTGTGCCTGCTACATAAAAGGTACACTACCACTTCCAAATAAGCATTCCTGGAAAGCTAACTTACACAGTCAATCAATCAAAAATAGGTAATAGGAACTAGAGCTTCAATGCACAGACAAAATACCTGATGAGAAACTTCTGCTCTTACGGATTCTAAGTAATTCTGGTCAGTTGGATACAGTGCACATGCAAACATAAAATCCTGCCAAATCTACGGGGAAAGGGAAAAAAAAAATCTGTTAGCAAATCATTTTACATACTTGAAAAGTATATGGTTATTAAGGTGCACAATCCTCTGTTCAGACAGAAGTTATTTATCTCAAAAAGAATTAAACTGAAATGTTCTATGTGTTATTCTTGGAAAGTACCACTAAAACAATCACATCCTCCATGGGATTTAGTATGTGCATACACCACTGTGATCTTCCTCAATATCAGAGTTACAAAATATTTACCCATAGGAATCAGATCCTGATTCACTGATGAGTAAAGTTCAGTAAGTTTCAATGGAATAATTACAATCCATGCACTGCTCAAATGTGAATGTGGGGCAATCTCCATCTGAACAGAACAATTTTGTATTTACGGCTTTGCAGCTGTAATACCAAATCCCCATTACTTATTAAAAAGAGACAGTAATTCTTCTGTCATGGTATCGAGCACAATTAACAGATGTTCAAGTGTACTTGTTAACAAAGCACTCCCATACCAAAGGCACAAACTGATCTTAAAATGAGCGTATCTTAACCAGCGAGAGGGGCAGAAACAAACTAGATCCTCTAACAGCACAATGATCTTTCTCTTCAAAGAAAGATCAAGTAGGTATGACTCTACCAGTGGGCAGAGATGGGTAAGATTTCTTGTTTTATTTGTTGTGTTTTATAAATTGTTGTAACTTAGAGCCTCTTGATAGCCCATCTCAAATGTTAACAGAAAGATCTCTTGAAGGAGCATGTTAACCCAAAGGAGTCTGTAGGAGACTACACTTTTCTGAACACCATACTACATAAACAATTGAGAGAGCCAGATCAGCTCCTCATACAACTGCACTTCCCTTGCAGTGAGAACATGCTTTTCGATGCCTCTTTGCGGCATACATTCCCTAAGAAAACTGAAGATAGGGAACAGGAATGTGGGAGGTAATGGATCCATTAATAATTGTTGCACTCCCAGCATTGTACAAAAAAAGCCTTTGGCATCCTTCAGTGACTGTAGAGTCAAAACTCTATTGAAATAAACTTTCTCTTGCTTTTTCCCCTCAGTGAGCTATCACTGTTTTCCCTTAAGCACAGTTTGACTCTAATGCGCTTTTAAGCCTTTAAAAGACCATCAGAAGAAACAAAACCAAAAGCCTCCAGCACCACCCCCTCCAGAATAAGGGTCTGATTTTCTGCACCTACTTGCTATTTTGGCTGCAAAATAAGATCTAAATCTTACATTGAGCCCTGTACAAGCACTGATCTAAGTGGCCTATTTAGGTGCCTAGTGTCAAAAATGAAAGAACTCTAAGTGCTCAGAAGCCCTGAAAATCAGGGCATCCATTCAGATGACTAAAATAGATGTAACATTCCATTTTTTTTTAGCACACACAGCAGAAGGCTGCAAGGTATCAATTCTATTTCCCTGCTTTTTATGCTGTAGAAAAAGACCAGACATACTTCTTGGGATTTTAACACCAGATGCAACTTGGCCTTTACTCATCTAGTCACCATTTCATCAAAACTTATTAACGTGTGCTTCCAAGCTCATATAATCAAAGGTACCCATCTAGCATTATCAGTGTTTGCAGCAGGTGTTCCCCTTAGAGCTACATTTATACTCAATTATAGCTTGTTCAAAAAAGAGCCTCTGGATAAGACCTTCCATGCTTGGCTTCAGTCCAAGTGAAATATTTTTGTTTAAAAAGTTTGAACGAAAAAACTCCAAACCTTTTCAGCTATCACTATAAAGGAGAAAATACTTTTAAAAGAAAGAAAATCCATTTCCACAGCAGAAAAAAGCATGATCACCTTCTCTGGCATTTTGATAACTGAGGTGGCTGAAAGCACAAAACTCAAATAAAGCAGGCCTTAAATCCTCACTGAGGTTAGACTGCAAGGCCTTTGGTCTCAATCTGGGGCACATACTCAAGCATTCAGATTCCTCAGCAGGGTTGTTATCACATAAGTAAGTCCCAAACACAGCTACAGGGCCCCTGCAGCCTGGCTGCTACAGAAAAAATATTGTGAATAACTCCTCCCCCTTGCACTACTTGTTTCCCAACTATTTGACTGAGTGTTGCAAGTCCTTGTTGATGCCTACAGTTCACAGAAGTTCTTCTATCGTACTCATCATTACAGTGTAAACATCTCCTCCATTAAGTGTCATCACTAGTACCAGTCCCTCAGCTGTTCATTTCTTCTCTCATTTCTTCCCCAAGAGAGCAGGAAACGTAGAACTGTGAGAGATGTACAGTATACAAAGATGAGAGCTTTGGTCTGAAAAGAGATTGAGGACAGGAAGTTAAAGCCACAGTGCTGTTGCTCTGATTTTGGGAAAGATAAGAGAGACGGGATAAAAGACAGTGGGGAGAAAAGGAAGAGGAGATAAAGCGGGGATTCTGGGCTGGGAAGGGAAGTGAGGATGAGTGAGGAATAGAGTTGTAGCCTTAAAAGAGAAAATAGAAGCTGGGGTTCTAATATAAAGTCTTAAGACTACAACTTCCGGCTTCAACATCCAGCCTCGGTAATCAGGAACCATCCAGATTAAAAAGAAATTTTAAAAATTAAAAAAATAAAAAAATAAAAAAAAAAAAAAAATCAGGTTGATCTGACTTCTCAGGATGGTACTCTACCACATCCTTTGGAAAGATTGCTAGAGTTCATGGATTAATTCTTGTATTCTGTTCATTTAGAGTGGATTTTTATTTATAAATTCTTATCAGTTTTTAAGTAAGTGTTCGGTGTTTGTTTTTACCATTATTCCTAGTTCATTGCAAATATCATAAAATTCATCTTGTTCATACACTCCTCCTCCCCAAACCCGAAGTGCATTCATGTTAGCATCTGCTGCAGACTTCAAGAGTAGCCATAATCTGTCCAATAAAAAAAGAAAATTTATACAAGTTTTGTGAAACTCTATCACTTAGGAGTTTCTAAAGTTATTGAAAACAAACAAAACAACCAAATATTCATCATTAGCAGGCAATCTAAGATTTATAACTCTGACAGAAACCAGACTATTTTGATATCTTCTAAGCCTGCACGTCTGGACAGAGCTTTCAAAAAGCAATTTTTTATGCAGGAAACATTACTTGGTCCTGTTAACACTTATGAAATAGATGGAGTGACACATGAAGTAAGTGCTTTTACAGAAGCATTGGCAGGATAAGATTTAGAAATACTATATTTTATTAACTAGGTTGCTCTTTTCTCCTTAGATATTACTTGCTTTAAATACCAATCACTTGAATTCAAATCCTCTTTTAAACATGTTCAGAAATCTGTATTATCTTCCCAAGTTCCACAATGCGTAGCGAGAAGGATGGGGAGCGAGAGGGGGAAGAAAAAAATCTGAGACGATGAATCTCATTTTAAGGGATTCGGGCTTCATTAATTTTTCCTTAATCATGCTGGAAGCCTCTAAATGGCATGGGAGTGTACACTGCAGCATGCTCCGTTGTCCCTGGCTCCCCAACTACCCAGAGCAAAGCTTAGTCAAAGTACAGTGTGGCCCCCAGCCCACCTGTATCTCGGGGGTGCTCTGTCATCGAAATCCAAGAAGCTTGGACCAGAAGGGGAGAGGGGGGGGAAAGAAGAAGAGAGGCTACTATGCACTTAAGTCTCCCTGCACAAGATGGGTTAGAACATGGCTGAAGTGCACGATCTCCGAGTACCACTGCACGTGTCCCAGGCAATAGGATCAAACAGCCTGAGGATCATCCCTAAAAATACCTGAAAGGCCAGTAACTTGTAGACAGCAAACAACCACCTTCCCACCAGTTATTGCACTTACATGCCTTGAACATCACTCAAATCTATTCAAGTTAATTAAGCCCTAATTCTAAGGCTTCCAACCCACAACAATTAGTGTCCTACCTTGAAAGGAGTTCCACTCCCCAATGACACCCTTTGATAGAGGGCAGACAGAGTATCAGGAAGAGGAAAACATGATCATTTCTCCTTAGAGAACATCAAATATGGCTTACGTGTCATAGGTCACTCTGTCCTGGAAAGAATCTGCTGGAATCCAGTTCGAGCCCTTAAGGAAAATGGGTCGGCCATTGATACTGAAGTAGAAACTCAGACCTGGTGAGCCAGGAACAGGCTCCTGAACAAGTTCTACTGTCCGAAAATAGGCCTGTGAAGACATGAAACTTAGGTTTAAAGCAGATAAATTAAAACAAAATAAATCAAGAAAAACATTGTGAAAGCGGTTCAACTAAATGCTAACAGCTTAGAATTTGTCAAGGAGTCAAAAGACATGGTCTCATCTCTAAATTTCTGCTTAATTAAAACACACTGTAACAGAGCTAAAACAAATCCTTCTGATAAGCCTGTTCACTTTTGAAAGTTACTATTATAGTAAGAGAGAGAGAAAGCATGCACAAACAAGCGAGTGTGCTCATGCATATATGTGTGTAAGAAACAGGTGGACATTCACTTGCTGCAGTATTCAGACCGAATTCCAGCTGGGGACCAGCAAGAGGAATGCAGTGGTTGCATTAGATCAGACACACAATTTAATCTGCAATTTTCTTCCAGAAGGAGACTGCATGAGCTCAGCTTTTAGTCTGAATGCCTAGCCTCAGGTTCATCCAGTAAAAGCAAAATCTTATTTTGCTGCCCTTAAATGATACCTTTTTAGTAGGTGTAGCAATTAAAGAAGAAAAGGTACATATGCAAACACAAATGCTGGTTTGGAAGGGAAGGGCTCTCTGGCCATCCCAGCTGTGTTTGAACAGTATGATCAGCCATAAGGTTCCAGAGAGACCAGTTCAGCTAAATAACCACTCACTCTGTATAAGGTATTAAAGGTCACTCCAGATAAAAGCACATCTCAAAACAGAAGCCAAACTTTTATAGCTACCCTTTCAGTCTAATACCTGCTATTGCGTACTGCAGATGCTGCAAAAATAACACATTCCTCCTTCCTGCTGCAGGTGGAAGAAAAGTTCTCAATAAATCATTATAGACATCTTCTGGGCCCTTATTTCAGTCAAAACAACAATGCTGCTCTGAGGGGTATCCTGATTGCACCCACGTAAACAGTCAGTGCCACAGTCAGTGCACAGAGAGCAGTTAGCCAACTGCAGTAATAGTTTGCACTGACCCCTTATTTGCAGAGGCATCTTCCCCACTTGCCACGGAGCCGATACGGAGCAGCTGCCACATTAGGCTCCTGCACAGCTGTAAGTGTTACAGAAAACATCTCTGCCAGGGAGGCTTTAGCATTCTTTTTCTCTTGTACACTTGTTCCAGTTCTACTTATCTAGACCAGAAAGACAACTCTTCTTCCTTCTGGTACCTGTTGCTCATTGTCATAGGAAGGTAATTGGGAAATTAAATAAAGTCAAGGAAAGCAAATTTCAGCCAACTCACACCAAGCAACAAGTTTGGGTCAGGAGAGCAGGAATCTTGGTTTTTTTTCTAGACTACCCTTAAGATAGCAAACACTCCTCTGTCAAATGACTATTTGCTACATCTTTTCAAAAGGTCAGTTTGTAGAGTACAGCCTGTTCTCTTTCTGCCACAGACTAAAGCCGAGACAAGTATCTGTCAGTAAATCAGGCTAAAATTAACCTAGTTAAGTGCAACTGATAAACTTTAAGATAAAACATAACTCTTTATTTCACACAACAGACGAGGCTGAAGTTCAAATGGGAAATGACTAATCCCACTGCTGGACTGTGTTTTTCAAACTTTCATCTTATCAAAAATCATACAGATAGAAAATTATTTCTAGTGGAAGAGAAGACAAAGAAAATCACTGCTTTTTTTGCTTCCTCTTTGGTGCTTTTTAGTTAACTGGACAATTATTAAACACCTGGACAGAGACAATGCACATGACAAACTAGATGCATGAGTGGAGTCCATAAATCACTGAGCTCAAACTAAACCCCTCCGCATCACGGCAATGACCTAAACATAGAAACTGAATTAATTTAAAAAATGGGACTTGCCCCAAGTCCTGCAGTGTTTTACAGTGTTGCCTCAGGGGCAACAGTGGATTAGCAACAAGTGGAGCTCAGCTCCTTATCGGTGGATAAGGAACTGGCTGGATGGCCG